ATTTTGCGCCACTTCTCCTCCCGCATTGAACATCACAGAAACTCTGTTCAAACATCAAAACGTTCAGCTCGGTCGGGAATCAATGGCTATTACTTTTATCATTCATAACTTTCATAATTCCAGAGATACATCCCATAATTCATCACATTTTTAACATGGAAGTCAATGGAGAAATCTTCAGACTTCAACAATCTTCATGCAACTTCAACTGCTAACTGCTCCTTCTTCAACTGCTAACTGCTCCTTCATACATTCACTCAGAAACCTCATTCCAACTTTAAAATGTTACACATCTTTCTGACATTATTCGTGTAACACAAATTTTAAATCTGATTCTCACTTTTAGAGATATTAAACATTGTTCAGACCTTGGTAAAGAGGCCTTCTTCAGATTTTAGAGTGCGTGATGTCACAGCTAGAGTGGAGGACAGATTTAATTTTGCCTTCATATTTTCTTTTAAACCTGCCATAATTCCCAAACCCTACATTCCTGAGACATAACTTTTCATGACAAACGTAGGAAAACATCTCGTAGCTTGAAAGATAAAGAAAAAATTAAGCAAAAATAATTAAACAAAATGCCTCTTGAGGGCAAGAAGTGACAAAAACTTTCAACATGTCTCCATTAAACTCCATTGTAAATTCAGCCTCACCTTTCCCCACCACAGCAGCCGCACACCTTTTGTTAATCTGCCAAAAAGGCCACATTATTAACCCGAAAGTACACAAAAAGTACACTTCAGATGCTCAAGTTCCTTGACATACTTCACGCTTTGAAATTTCACCGATATCTGTTACGGTTCTTCAACAAAACGTTCACATGTAACAGGTTTATCTCTCATTCAGAACAATGAAAATGCTCTCCTCTCACTGATCACGATGGAAACCTTCGATCTCTGGACACGTCGTTAGCTCAAATATAAACACCTGTGTCATGGAACACGATGATGTCATAACTCCAACTGACATGCTCAGAGCAGCAGACTTCAGATAATGGTTAATGGTCCAGCCCTCAACAGCTCTACGTCAATTATGGGGTGTCATCATATGCCGTTTCCATGGAAACGCATCCCTCGGCATAAACACGATGTCGCTGTAACTCCAATGGACACGGTCTGATCGTCCCCCAAACTTCGCTTGTATATCACCGGTCCAGCCCTCAACAGCTCTACGTCAATTATGGGGTTTCATCATATGCCGTTTCCATGGAAACGCATCCCTCGCCATAAAACGATGTCGCTATAACTCCTATGAAAATGTTCAAAAAGTGCTCAAACTTCACATGTGTGCTAACAGTCCAGCCGTGAAGACATCTACGGGACAGTTTTGAGATTTCTTCAAATGCCGTTGCCATGGCAACACAATGCTCGCCATGAAACACAGTTTTCTCATAACTTCAGTGAAAATGCTCCAAATGGCCCAAAACTTCACAGGTTTGGTAACGATGCAGCCATCAACGCATCTAAGCGTATTATGGGATGCCATAACATGCCGTTGGCATGGCGACAGATCATTCACCATCAAGTTAGTTCAAAAGTTTGCAGTTCAAATATTCTGCTGCTTTTCCAAGCTTTTTTACTTTATTTTCTTCTCTCATCTCACATTCAAGCCCCCAGTGTTCATGTATCATTTCAATCTAAATTCTTCACTTTCTTCTTACACATTACATTTCAGCATAGCAGTTTAGCGTCAGCTTTTCAGCATAAAGCATTCCCACTAGCAATTTCTTCAGGAATTGCATTCTCTAGTTTTAGCTACTGTGCATATGAAAATAAAGTTGAATCTATTGTACCCTTTACTCCACTGCATTTCTTTAACAACTGTAGGTACTTTCCAGATCTAGATTGTAAATATAAATCATATAATATGTTCTTTAAATGTGATCTAATGTTATAGATTATACTACCCAATTGTATCTAAAGTATTTTTGATAAGCTCTCCTGCACACTACCAAACAGCTCCCTGGAAGCTGCATAAATATTGATGATGTAATTATGTTGTTATTACATTTATGTAAAAAAATATGTAACATTTTACTGGATAGAGGTGTTTTCAAATGAAGTGACGAAACACCAAACTGCAACAATTAAGTATTTCACATTTCTTACAGCTTCAAGAACTGTCTTCAAAGTCTTACTTAATTCTCTCACTTTTGACTCAGGATTCAAAGATTTTAGTAGTAGTATTGGCCACATTTTTAATTAAATATTTTGCAAATGCTACAGCCACACGTGATGGAGTTACTTAAAGGATGATGTATCAAGGGAGGCCAAGACATCTAACTAAGTTGAAGTTATCTGTAATGTGGTGTTTTTTTTTCCACATATTTATACTGTGTGCTTAAGCAATTGATGGAAGGTTGGTAGGTTGGGTGATGGCATAACCTTGTAACACTTTATTTGCCATATTGGTGAGTTGTTTTAGTGAGTGAAGTGTTGACTGTAAGACAATGCATTGATACTGTATCTGTTAGCAGCAACATACTGTTTACTGTGTCATTTCAACCCTGAGGCTTTGAAGTCACAGTTGAAAAACAGGGCTCGTCCGGGATTTGAACCCGGGACCTCTCGCACCCTAAGCGAGAATCATACCCCTAGACCAACGAACCTTCTACAGTTTGGAAATAGAAGGATTATATTTTCCTCCCCTTGCCTTCCAGACCAAAACTTTAACTTCAGACTGATGATGTGGCAGCTTAAAGACATGAACTTGTTACTTGATAAAAGAGCCCCCTCTGCTGCACATTTTTGTAATCCCATTCAGCTCTTCAGCTTTGCACACTTTGACGCCAAGAAACACAAGGATTGGACATTAGACCAGTGGAAATCTGTACTTTGGTCTGATGAGTCCAAATTTGCGATTTTTGGTTCCAACCGCCGTGTCCTTGTGAGACGCAGAGAAGGTGAGCGGATGGTTTCTGCATGTTTGGTTCCCACCGTGAAGCATGGAGGAGGAAGTGTGATGGTATAGGGGGGCTTTGCTGGTGACGCTGTTGGTGATTTATTCTGAATTCAAGGCACACTTAACCAGCATGGCTACCACAGCATTCTGCAGTAGCCAGCAAAATATAAATCATATTCTGGATTTTTTAAACATTTTTTTGTTTACTAGATAATTCCATATGTGTTCTTTTATAGTTTTGATGTCTTCAGTATAAATCTACAATGTAGAAAACATTTAAATAAATAAAAAACTTCGAATTTGAAGGTGTGTCCAAACTTTGACTAGTACTGTAGATGTATATACTCTCCTGCATTTACTTGTTCACTTCCAATATTTTTAAAATTGTTTTATTTCCTATATATATTATGTTGCATTGATGGAGGAGCCTGGGACTTAAGACTTTCATTCCCATATCTACATTTTAGCCAGAGTTGGGCGAAGTACTCCAGATCTTGTACTTAAGTAAAAGTGGAAGTACCAAAGTGTAGGTATTCTCTGTTACAATTAAAAGTTAAAGTGCCAAATCAAAAAGTACTAATTTTGCTGGCCCATTTCAGAATCATATTTATTATATGTTATGATTATATTTATTGATGTATTATTATCACAGCTGGTAAAGGTGGAACTCATTGTAATTACTTCGTATACTCTAGGGTAGATTGTGAATTTAATCCAGGTGTAACTAAAGTCTTATTTTAGTGTTGATCATATTTTTGTATCATTATTCCATATCAGCAAAGTATCATAAGATATTAAATAAATAGTGGAGTAAAAGTACAATATTTATATTGTACTCAAGTACAGTACCTGAGTAAATGTACTTGTGTTGTTACTTTACACCACTGATTTTAGCTACTGTGCATATGAAAATAAAGTTGAATCTATTGTACCCTTACTCCACTGCATTTCTTTAAACAACTGTAGGTACTTTCCAGATCTAGATTGTAAATATAAATCATATAATATGTTCTTTAAATGTTGATCTAATGTATAGATTATACTACCCAATTGTATCTAAAGTATTTTTGATAAGCTCTCTCCTGCACACTACCAAACAGCTCCCTGGAAGCTGCATAAATATATGAATGATGTAATTATGTTGTTATTACATTATGTAAAATAAATATGTAACATTTTACTGGATAGAGGTGTTTTCAAAATGAAGTGACGAAACACCAAACTGCAACAATTAAGTATTTCACATTTCTTACAGCTTCAAGAACTGTCTTCAAAGTCTTACTTAATTCTCTCACTTTTGACTCAGGATTCAAAGATTTAGTAGTAGTATTGGCCACATTTTTAATTAAATATTTTGCAAATGCTACAGCCACACGTGATGGAGTTACTTAAAGGATGATGTATTAAGGGAGGCCAAGGCCATACATCTAACTAAGTTGAAGTCTGTAATATGGTGTTTTTGTTTTCACATATTTATACTGTGTGCTTAAGCAATTGATAGAAGGTTGGTAGGTCGGGTGATGGCATAACCATGTAACACTTTATTTGCCATATTGGTGAGTTGTTTTAGTGAGTGAAGTGTAGACTGTAAGACAATGCATTGATACTGTATCTGTTAGCAGCAACAGACTGTTAACTGTGTCCATTTCAACCCTGAGGCTTTGAAGTCACAGTTGAAAAACAGGGCTCGTCCGGGATTTGAAACCCGGGACCTCTCGCACCCTAAGCGAGAATCATACCCCTAGACCAACGAACCTTCTACAGTTTGGAAATAGAAGGATTATATTTTCCTCCCCTTGCCTTCCAGACCAAAACTTCAGACTGATGATGTGGCAGCTTAAAGACATGAACTTGTTACTTGGTAAAAGAGCCCCCTCTGCTGCACATTTTTGTAATCCCACTCAGCTCTCCAGCTTTGCACACTTTGACGCCAAGAAACACAAGGATTGGACATTAGACCAGAGGAAATCTGTACTTTGGTCTGATGAGTCCAAATTTGAGATTTTTGGTTCCAACCGCCGTGTCCTTGTGAGACGCAGAGAAGGTGAGCGGATGGTTTCTGCATGTGTGGTTCCCACTGTGAAGCATGGAGGAGGAAGTGTGATGGTGTAGGGGGGCTTTGCTGGTGACGCTGTTGGTGATTTATTCTGAATTCAAGACACACTTAACCAGCATGGCTTTCCAGACCAAAACTTTAACTTCAGACTGATGATGTGGCAGCTTAAGGACATTAACTTGTTACTTGGTAAAGAGCCCCTCTGCTGCACATTTTTGTAATCCCATTCAGCTCTTCAGGGGCCTCATTTATAAAGCTTTGCGTAGGATTCACGTGGGAAGGTGGCTTACGTAGGACAAAGCAAATAAATACACACAAAAATATTCCGATTTATAAAACACTGCACACGCACGTCTTACGCCGGTTTCCCTTTATAAATCACAATCAACTCGAAATGCGGCGCAGCTTTTGCGGGCTTCATGTAACGCCCATACAGTATTTGCCTATAAATAGTCAAAGAAATGCCCCGTATTAATATTCATTTTGATTGACTGCATGAAGAAGATCGCAGGAAATGACGGCAGAACAGCTAAAAAAGACATCTCACACCGGTGGGTGTTTCTCAGGGTGTTTCTCAATCTCGAGTAAAGCTGCTCCAGAGCCACTATTTCAAGCATACTACGTCATCGAGTGCCGCCGAAGTACTGTTCCAATGTCCAGCATACTTGGAATTCTACTGAGCCCGGCGTACTTCGTTTGGAGAAATGTCGAGGCTGCACATGTGTAGACCCCGCGGTCTTAAAATCACCACAATGCTTTGCGCACAGACCAATTACCCCAAATCTGTGGCGGAAAATGTAAGGCGGGGCCTCTCATATGACGCACACCTGCACACTTGCTCGCCTGTTCCACTCTTCGTTTTCCGAATGCTAGGAAGTATTCTTGCCTCGCTTCTGAAGCAAGACGCTCGGAAGACATGTGCTACCAAGCAAGCGTACTCGACATTGAGAAACACCCTCAATGTCGAGTAAAGCTGCTCCAGAGCCACTATTTCAAGCGTACTCCGTCATCGAGTGCCGCCGAAGGACTGTTCCAATGTCCTGCATACTTGGAATTCTATCGAGGGCCGGCGTACTTCGTAGCGGGAAATTTCGAGGATGCACATGTGTATCCTCCGCGGTCTTAAAATCCCCACAATGCTTTGCGCACGGACCAATTTCCCCCATCTGAAAATGGCTGAATCCAGGCAGGACACGTTTAAATGTAAGTAGGCCTATGTTCAGTGGCGTAGTAAATGTGCACATGACTTGTGTTTAAAGTTTATAGTCCGTTTGAGTTTTGCCCGTGTGAACGCAAACCAAACCTTCTGAGAAATGAAACAATGTAACAAACTGTTGTCTGGTGCGCACCAGAGATGGACTATTAGGTTTGAATGAGACCTTTGCAACCTAAATAAATAATTAAAATGAACCTTGTTTTGACTTTGCCTCTTTTGTTGATATTTGTGGTTTATGCTACAATGTGCACCAAGTATGATATATGAATGGAAAGGATGTACAGAAACACTTTTTTTGGAAAACTATGAGAATGAAAGAAAGGTGATTGAAGATGAGAAATTAATATACATGTATGTATACATTTATATTATTTAAGTAGGAATAACTTGCAGAAATGATTCAAAGGATAATCATTGATCAGCAGTAAGTAAGGGGTGGGAATTATAAGCATTCCCTTTGCTGCTCCCTTTTCGGACACATATGATTTATTATTATTATGAATATTTGTGTTGAATATATAAATATGATTATGAATATTGATAAATACTGTATTCTAACAATACGGTATTCTGTTTTTCACATTTGTTATTATTTTTTTTATTATTTGTTCGAAATGAAATATACATTTTATTATTGATTGGTGATGGTGATTTTATGATTTTCTTATGGCTGCTTATCCTCCAGGACTTTTTCAAGGCTGCAAACAGAAGGAGAACGTTTTATGTTAGTTTAGTGGTTCTGTCCTGGAGAGATGATCATTTTACAAAATACAGTTACTCAAGTACATCTTCGCAAATCAGTTATGAGTCTTAATACAAATCGCGCTCAATTTAAGGCGGGGCCTCTCATATGACGCACACCTGCAAACTTGCAAGCCTGTTCCATTCTTCGTTCTCCGATGCTAGGAAGGATTCTTGCCTAGCCTCTGAAGGACCTGACTCGGAAGACATGTCCTACAAAGGAAGCGTCCTCGACATTGAGGAACACTCCGTGTCAGATTTTGGTTATTTTGGGGAGGTCGAGATAAATCATATTGTTTGTTGGATGCAGTTTGAACCAGAGTAGCAGCATGGAGGTCAGATCGTCACCAAAATAAATAAATAAGTGGTCCGAAAAAGGTTAATGACAAAAAAAATACACATAGCTTAACTAGTTGGGGGGGTAGAAGGGGGTATCATGCACCCCCTGAAATATACTTCTAATCAGCTTTTCTAGATTGGAAAAATTGTGTAGAAAAACGATCAGCTATGTTTCAGGGCCGGCTCTAGACAATTTGCTGCCTTAGGCGAGATTTTAGCTGGCGCCCCCCCCCCCCCCCCCCCAGCCAGAGAATCGTACAGTAGAAAAGATAAAGATCAATAGAGTATCCAAGGAATACACAATAAAATCAGGTCAGACACACAGAGGAAAGGGGAGAGGACGCTGGCGCTTGTTTGTTCGCCGCTTCTCCTACGCCTCAGAGTTTTTATCTGCTTTTAAGCTATAGTTATATGGCTAAACTTTTAGTCTGTTTAACAAGTGTTTTTATATCTTAAACCTCGTGATTATTGACGGTTTTGGACCTGACGGCTGTCGGGACTCACCTGCTGTATCGCCCAAATTCGCCGACTATCTCCGGCTGACTGCTTGCCCTCTCTCCCGCTACTAGTGTGATAGCAGGCGGACTCCCAAGCCTCTGTTTCATTCCAGACGTGAGGTATACTAACGGGATAGCCTTCCAGCTGTCTCGTTGCTGTTAGCCCTCGCTGCTAAGCACCGCTACCAAACTTCTTCGGCGCCCGACATGTTGAGGTTTTCTATTCCCCAACTCCTGAGTTTCAACCACTCCAACGCTCCAACCTGCACCTCAGTCATTAAACAACTTGGACTTCTTCGTCGGCATCGCTATATCCACCAAAGCCAAAGAAGAAGACAAACTGTATATTCCCAGCACGGAGATGCAGAAATTCCATCCATCCACTCTGTCTGCCGTCGTGTCGCACATCTGACGCGTCATCAGAGCCTGGTCATGGCGGGGTCAAATCGCGCCAGAAACATCGCGAGACCGCTGTATGAATACACGGAGAGCATCGCGAGACCGCCACACATGAAGGAGTCTGGAAAACGTGTAATAAATCCCTCAGTAATAAAGCATCCTTCATTCAAGACCACATCACTGATGAGAAAATGGACTTCATGTGCCTCACGGAAACCTGTGGTTTACTCCACCCTCAATGAAGCTTGCCCTCCTGGCTACAGCTACTTGGAGAAAGCCCGCAGCACTGGTCGTGATGGAGGCCTAGCTGTCATCTACCGAAAGGAATTGGAACTGTCACTCCTGCCCCTGCCTGTATTGTCCTCTTTTGAATGCCTTGCATTTAAATGTAAACCCCCCTTCGCCCTGACAATACTTCTGATCTACCGGCCACCCAAACCCAATTCAGCTTTTATCCCAGAGATACAAGACCTTCTCACTACGTTATGCACAACCTCTGCCAATATTATCATACTTGGAGATTTTAATATTCACGTCGACTCCCCCTCCTGCCACTTTGCCACTGAGTTTCTGCTACTTCTGGACTGCCTCAATCTGACACAGCATGTTAATGTCCCCACACACGCCAAGGGCCACACGCTCGACCTGGTCATCACAAACTCCGCCCCCCATCTGCTAGTGTATGACCTGGGGGGTGTCTGACCACAAGACTATCTCTATGGAGCTCTTTTTCCAGTCCCCACTCAGCAAGCCCAAACGCCAAATCTGCTTCAGGAACCTGAGGAACATCAACCCGGACACCATGACCCTGGACCTCCAGCATCTTTCTTCCGACAACTTCTCATCAGTAAATGAGTCAGTTGCATATTACAACCAGTCCCTTAACAGTCTCCTTGATCTGCACGCCCCCCTCAAAACCAGGATGGTCACCTTCTCGTGCTCAGCCCCTTGGTACACCGGCGAGCTGCGGAGAATGAAGACAGCTGGGCGTGTCCTTGAGCGGCGGCTCAAGGCCTCAGGACTCACTGTTCACCGGTTAGCCTATCGTGAACACCAGAAGGCCTACGCACAGTCCCTCAGAGATGCACGGTCCCAGTACTACTCCTCCATCATCAACAACAGTACTGGAAACTCCAAGCAACTCTTCTCCACCATAAACCACCTCCTCAAACCCCAAAGTCCTCTACACTCCGACTCCACTGAGAAGCAGTGTAGCAACTTCGCCGCCTTCTTCATAAACAAATAGCGCGTTCACACCGGAGTACTTTTCCGACAATAGTTAATCAGAACTACGATATATTTGCGTTCACACCAAAAAGCCCCAGGAACTAAATTAATTGAACCATTTTTACGCCGTTTTCGAAAAGTTCATACGTGTGATTGGCTGTGCGGAATGCAAACCACGCCCCGTGAGTCTCTGAATTTTTTTTGAAGGCCGCCATTGTATTTTCTCACATTAAAAGCTCAGCGCCGCAGCCACCAACGAAGAGATTACTTTTGTGAAAGCA